ACATCATATGTGAAATCCATGGCAAGCGGGATTAGAAAATAGCGTTTTTAGCCTCATTAACTTGCATTCATTGTTTTCGTTCTTCTGGGGAACCATGGTCTGGATGTAGATTTATATCAAAATTTTAGTGTTAAAATTGCTCAAATGACTTTATTTTATTGCTGTAACTCATTTTTTAAACTTTCCCTGTGCTTAAAAATGTCAATGCAAATTGTTACAACAATTTCATTGAGTATAAGCAACCTATTTCATTTAAGTCAGAATAACTTGGACATGACAACTCCAGTTTTACAGTCAAAAAAAGTGTTTATTTATTTTAACCTTTGTATTAATATTTTTATTGCAATCAAGCACTAATATTAGAAGAAGGACATAGTTGCAGATGTGATCATTGCTAAAGCCCAGTCTAAATATCCAGTTTCAGTGCAAAGTGTCAGCACAGTACAGAAACCATCTCATCATCCCATCACTCAATCAACTAGTGAAAAATATACTTACTTAACTTAAACTATAATGTACTTTAGTACTACTGGAATACATTTTAAATGTAAACAGCGTGATTAACCGGAACATTTTGTGTTTCTAATATTTCTGTTAGCCCTTTCCTCTTCTCCAGCCCACCTTCCTTGTTTATATTCTTACTCGTCTCACCTTTTCATTCACTGTCTTCTATTAAATGTACGGTAACTGTACAGAATAAAGTGTAAAGAGCAAAACTTGCAAAGTGTGTATGTACACTCAACATTTCCTGCTGAATAATTGGACAGCTTAACTCTTCTCATTTTTAGTACAGCAGTTTCCTTCAGACATAACCTGAGATATTAACTTTTACTAAACTTCAAGTCCATTTCAGGTGTAAACTTAGTGTACTTTAGGTAAACCTTAAAAACATTTAAACACAGTGTGTTAACAAATTACATTTCCTGCTCAAATAGTGGACAGTCTTCAGATATTTTACAACAGCAGTTTACTTTTCAGAGACATTACTTTCGGGCTTGCTTTCATGCTATCCAGCTCAAGAAATACCTTTTGAAACACTTCTAAGGTGTTTTTAGTTCCTTTGGGTAGCTGAGATTGAGTGAGTAGATCAGTCCCATTAGCAAGGCACAGGCTCTGGGTACGTCTACTTCTTCCAGGACTTCTGTTCCCTTAATTACAATCCGGGTGCTGGCTAGATCAGATGAGGCACCTCTGGTTACAATGATTTTCAACACTTCGTTGGTGAGATCCCCATCAACCTTGCATAAATAGGTCAGAATTAAGATCAGAATTAAAAACACAAAAAACTGTTAAAAACAAGACTTACAAAAGTATAGCTTTTCTGTGTCAGATTTACCCACCAACTGCTCTTTAGATTCTCCTCCTTTTCTCCAAGGTACACCACCAATCTATGGATTAAAACCTCTCTCCTCATTTCCACAGAATCATCCTGTGAATAAGATGACAAAAATATTAACGTATTCCTATATGAGGAAGGGTTTCTAATCAGGGTTCTTCTCATAATACTTTACCCCATTTCCATGACTATTTAAGTAGTTTAAAGGGGAGCTGCTGTTATTTTTAACCTGGACCTTATTTCTAGCATGCAAAACGTTCATTTACTCATCCAGACAACTTTGGTGCTATCGGAGTCTTCCGGGAGATTTTCCCCATAAGTGTATTTCCATATAATGAGATAATAAGTAATGCAAACGGCCTCTAAATAAGGCATTATCTGACACAAAATGCCTTCATTTTACTAATGTTTTGGTATAAATCGCTAGCGCTACTCACCTGATAGTTCGGAGCATTGATGTTATTATCCAGGATGTTTTACAGTCGTTTAGTACAACCAGCAGGCGCTTTACTGTCAATAGCCGGCGCTTTCAGTGGTGTCATGGCCATGCGCCATCTTAGTTGTTATATGAGCAGCATTTGTACATTTTCCTATAATTCCGTAATCAACCGTCACAGAGCACAGAGTGAAATTTCTGCTCAAACTACAACTAAGATGGCGGGCGATCGTGATGCCACTGAAAGCCCTGGCCGCTAAACCAACCTATATATATCTCAAAAAACTCAGACAGCACTAAAGTTGTCTGGATGAGTAAATAAACATTTAGCATTTTAGAAATAATGGCCAAGTTGCAAAAAACTGCAGTTCCCTTATTAATAAAAGGCAATAATGAGGTTTTTGCTCCAGGAGGAGAGGAAGAGGAGAAAATTGGGGGAGATGAGGAGCATGATGACAAATAAGAAGGGAAAGACAGTAAAATGGGAGAAAATGGAGGAAGGGGCCAGGACAAGATGGAAGAGGAGAAGACAAGGACAGGTGAAAGAGAGAGGTTTAGAGAAGCGTGGAGAAGAGGAGGAAGAAGAAGAGTATAATCCAATGAGACATTAAAAAGGAGATTAAGACATTACCAGAAAACAGATTTGTTTATGACTTGTTTCAAGTGCAGTTTCACAAATTTCAAGCAAAATCTGCCAGTGAAATAAGATTTTTTTTCCTCGTTACAAACCCTTGTTCCACTGGCAGTTTTTTTCTGTTTGATCCAAGTGACTTGAAAATAGCTTGAAATAAGTGAACCTAACTTGGAAACAAGTAAAAAACAACTTACTTTTAGGTAATGTCTCAATGTTTAAAGTAATGAGAGATTTTGACTAGAAAAATATTAAATATTCTCTGTTTGATTTTGAGTTCTTGCAGTGAAGCGTGAGAAAAAAGGGGGGAATGAGTAGAAGAGGAGTGAGGTAACGGAAGAGGATTAGGGAAGCAGCAGAAAAGGAACCGGACAGAGGAGAAGTAGAAGAGGAAGAAAAGACAAGAAGGAGGAGCAGTGGAAAGAAAAAGAAACAGAAAAAGGGGGATTTTCTATTTTATTTGAATCACATTGCAGCATCTTCATTATGCGCCAAATAGGCACTCTTGCAGCCCCTCCTCTTGAGGACACAAATGACATTATTTTTGGGGTGTACTTGTCCAGTTTTGCCATAAATGTTGCCTCCAAGTTCACTGTAGTGATTCTTCTGAATTCTTCGTTTGCCTGTATAGAAATAAAAGGAAGGAAAATAAGTTGTTTTTGTTGTTAATCTATTAATTTTGTTATCAATTCCAATACAGCGCATAATGAAAACCATTATGAAAAAAATGTTTACCTAAACTGCATCAAAAAGAGCAGGCCATCGGTTTTTTTAGTCTGTGACTGGTGGTGCCTCATTAACCACTTCCTGCCTGCAAATTGAGAACGTGGTGCAGCAGTATTATAGAAATAACTTGCCTATATGCTGTTATTTAAATTTTTGATATTGTTGTTGGGAAATCTTGCAACCAGTTTGTCCTTTTCTGAAAAAGAAAAATACAGTTAAAACCAACTCAAATTTTTTTTTATTCTGCCTATTGGCTTTAACATTACTGTTAAATATACATAAAATAATTATCTTAATTTAACTTAAACAAGCAAACAGCAAACTATTCCATACCATTTTACAGTTCCTCAAGTTATTTATAGCTATTTTTAAAATAATTATTTACAAGTTCCATCAGTTATTGTAATAAATGTCCCGGACATTTTGTGTGTGCCATCCCTCTTCCTGCTTTCACAGCGATCGTAGGTGCGCTGCAACCCACACACGTGCGCACACACCCTCTCCCAGTCTCACAGCAATCACTCTACCGGTGTGTGCGTGTGCAGCGCGCGTACATTTTTTCTGTTTTTTTAGTGGCTCGGGAGCCTGCGGGTACAGTGTGTATCTCTGAGACCCGTTTCGTTTGCGAACGACAATTCACTACATGGTCCGGAGTGCTGGCTGAGTGTTTTGCTAACCTGTAGGAAACATCAACGACAGTTTTCCATAAAGTAGCTAAGGGTTACCAGAAATGTTGCTGGGTTGTTCGCTAGCTACTTTCAGAAAAAGGTCAAAGAAGAGGATCAGAAAAGTTAGAAATAGCGACAAAGTCACTAGGAGGTGCGCTCGATTTGTAACTCAGAGTAATCCACGAGGGAGGAGCAAATAACCGGCTTGTTTCGTTTTTAATAATCGTTCAAAACTCAGATTGTAATTGTGATTAAAATTCCATTTATTGAGCAGCCCTACTGGAGGTGTGAAAAGTAATGAAAATGCGGGACTGTTCTGCACAAAGCGGGTTATCTGGTCCTTCCTCCTTGGCGAGCTAAAGACTGCTAACGGCTAGCACTTTTCCACAACATTTCCTCACTAATGTCAGCTAAAATAGATGTCTGCAAAAAGTAGAACTAAAGATTAATTTCCACAGCAGTTCTAGAACTGCAAGTTTCAGCACCTTGGAGCCGATTCTAATGCACTTATAAGTTAGCTAAGTTACTTTGAAGACATTAGCTAGCTAACTGATAGCTTAAAGCCGAGGACAAAGCAGTCTGCTTTCTAATTTAATGCTGTGTAATTGAGCGCTGATAGTTACTTGCTATTGCACATAAAATTAAGAAAATAAAGAAAAACATATTTACTTACCAATTAAAGTTAATCCAACCTTGACCTTCTTTGGTGTCTTTCCCTCTCTTTGCTGCTGGAGTCTGGCAGCATAAAATGGCCGTTGGTTTCATTTCATTCTTTGGTTTCACTCCTTGCACACGTGATGTGAAAGGCTGCTGCAACAACTTAATATTATAATACAATATTAAGTTTCAATAACTTATTACTCTTTGTTAAGTGAAGGCAGAAATGCTTATCCAAAATCACTGAATTTCTGAGTTAAGACAGCTTTCACTAGTTTTAGTTTTGTTCAACTTCTTTTCAACTTAACAAACAATGGACATGTAACAATTTCTAATTTTTATGCAGAAAATTTTTCTTGTTTTTAAGTCCTAATAACTAACCTCCTGAATCATTTCTTAGAGTGTACGTACCGAACTGAGATTATAGGTGCACCGTTTTCCCCCTACCATTCCTCGTCTGTACAGTGGTGGGGTAGAGCTGATGTGATGTATGAGTTCTATTTTAGCAGTGACAGTATGTATGTTCGTGTTTTTGGTTTCTTACAGGAGGAGTGCTTTCTTAACCTGGAGGCTCCCATCAGTCGGGTCTGTGGTTATGACACCCCCTTCCCTCACATCTTTGAGCCCTTCTACATCCCTGACAAGTGGAAGTGCTTTGATGCAATAAAGAAGATGATCCACTTCTGAAAATGCAAGCAGGTAGAGAAGATCTGTTGGCTTCTTTTAACATATATTTATTGCATAGCAATTAATTGCTATTTTACTTAGAGCCTGTTGCCAGTTTCCCTATAGTCTGTGTAATTTATTCTAGTGGTTTTAGTGATTTCAATGACAGATTGATTTAACCTAAAGCTGGTCGAATAATTTAATTTGAATCTCAATTATGATCTGGGATTTCAACAGTCTAATAAGAGATTATTTGTTTCTCCTTCACTTTTTACTCTTGCGCTGCTCCGAGTTGTAAACTGAGCTCACTTCCCACACAGCAGCACCAACTTAGTGTCTTTGTCACTATTTCCAACGGCATGTTAATTACTTTCTTTTCCTAAGAGTGCCTAGGCAACCAGCTAGTGATGGAGTTGCCATTGTTATTGTTCAATAAGTGTGTGTTAACATTAATTAAAGATTGTGTTAAATAATCGAGATCTTATATTCAATCAAAATAATCCTGGTTTTCATTTTTGTCATAATGGAGTAAGAATTAAACAAGGCCAAAATAGTTTTAATCCGTACTACTTGACCTAGTAGAGTTCGTTAATTACTTGGCACATACAGACATAGAAAAGCTGTTTGTTAAAAGGTTAGATTTTATCACGTTATTTTAGTTTCAAAATGTCTCTATTTTCTATATGTTTGTGTACTTTTAGCATGATTACTGTCAAAAATTTACTGTTCAATGTAATTTTATTTTGTTGTGTAACTAACTGTAGCTAGTTTGTTATTTAATTTTATTCTGTTGATAATGTTTGTGTGTCCAAAGTAGAGACAGGTTAAAAATGAGGAACTCTTGTAAATCACATCAGTTGCATTCAGTTTATTGAAGCTGTGTTCAGCTGTACCAGCATTCCTCAAATACATTTCATTTATTTATATAATATTGATGATATTGAGGAGAGTGTTCCTAGGTATTCTGTGTACAAAAGTTAAGGATTTTAGGTTCCTGTGACATTTTTCTACTCTTGGATTCACATCTGTATTTAGGCACACTGAACTGTAACCAGAGCACCCAGTACTGATTCTAGTGACAACTGTCACCAGGTCATGCAAGTTATGGAAATGCCTGTGAAGTTCTGTAAAGTCATAATGTGTATCTGATACCGTATGCCAGATCTGTCTTTTATTATTTGCAGGAATAATGACATTCATTAACTTGGGACAGTCGCAGAGCCACATTGTTTTAGAATTCCTTTTTAATTGTCTCTGTCATTTTGAGTTATTGCTGTTGAACTGCTGGCTTCCCAAAAAGAATGACGCATTTATTAGATACTTAATTGAATCCAACACATGTCACCTCTCATCATCACTGTTCAGCTCAGTCCAGCTCTACGTTTTCCTCATCTGTCGTCCACCATCGAGTGCCAAGTTCTTCACTTGTTGAACCATATCTCCTTCTGCAGGGCCAACTGCGGGTCAACCTCAACTCCACACTCTCCCCACATCTATTCTTCATTCATCCAGCTAGTGGAGGGCTTCCAGAAAAATGCTTTGTTGACCATCCAGTCAGAAAGCAGTATCCAGATGGCATCCATGTCCCTCACTCTGAAAGACTGTTACCATATCTCCAGATTGGAGAGCCGTGTTCTTCTGGAAGGGAGAGGTGATCGACTTTTATCAGTGGTGAAACGTAGCTTCAACTATTCTTGTAATTCACAGAAAGCATTTCCCCCCTCAACAAAGCCTGTATTTTTGTGAGACACTGTTTGGTTGAATTTGTGACTTTCTCCCGGTTTGTGTTAACTTTGGTTAAAAGTGTTCAACCCTTAACATATTGTACTGTTAAAACCTGCAACAATACAACAAAAAATTGTTGAAAATTTGTGTTTTGGTTTATTTTTTAGTGTGTCCAAATGTTTTAGGTTTTTATTTTTTCAAGCAACCTAAAAATAGCATTTTTCAAGTGATTACACGAGTGTCTTAACTTAGGTTAGTGTCATATCTGTAGCAAAGTCTACATCCTTTGTTCAGATGTAAGGATTCATGGAACAAAATCAATCATCTGGCCTTTGTTAAGTCTTCCTGATGAGTAAATGCAATCTCAGTTAAACAGTCTGACATTATTTAACAGAAACAAATGTAACTTGCTGGAAATGATTTGCAGCATTTATAGCAGCTTGAAGTCTGATCCTGTTGATTGGATACAACTAGTAACTGATCATCTTCACTGTGAATCCCTCTAGAAAAATGTCTTTTTTTCTCCAGTTTGCTGTCTGGAGTATACAGATGTATGTTGACACAATGCTTAGAAGGAAAAACAACAGCATTGGTCTGAGCGAAGCAGGTGTTACTGCCCATCATTATGGGAAGGGACGTTATGAAGGTTCAGTTAGTACCACATTCAAACCTTTGCAATTTCCATCATCGGTTACCCATGTTTTTGAGGTACAAAAACATTACAGTAAAAAGATAATTCACAACCAGAAAACATTCAAATAAGTTGGCAATCTCATGCGGTGTGGGTCTCCCAGCAGGTTCGTTCTGAGGTCTGTCGGTGCAATGTTTAAAGGAACCGTAAAAATACCCAAGAACTGCATCTTAGATTCCTCAGGCTTTAGTTAGTGTGTTAAATGGTCTAATTCAGTTCAGTCCAGTTAGAGAAGTGCTGAAGACGTTTGGCATGTTTGGAAGGGTTTCCAAGAGGAGACTTCTCAAAGAAGCAAACGTTGTTATTGCCTAGGCTTACAAAGTTGCGTATAAACAAACCAATAGACCTCTGGAAGAATGTCCTTACAGACGAGATGGAGACATACCTACCCAAAATGCACTGCACAGTGTTTAGTAAAAATGTAGCCTGTCAGAGCAACCACCTCATACCAAGTGTTGTTTCTGGTGGTGCCTTTTCGTTGATCTGACGATTTGAGTTTGATGTGCAGCCACAGATCCTGGACATCTTTCAGCCACAGAGTTGGCCACAAACTCCTCTGATCTCTGTATTTTGGGGTCAATGATGAGGCCATGTGTCTGACAGCTGAATATTGGCTGAAAATGGTTTCAAGATGTCTGTCATATTTATATGAAATGATAATTACTTCAAACTGTTGCTCCTGAACTTGGTTTTTTAAGTTCAGTTATTTCATACAAAATTCTGGATTTGATTTTGTTAAACAATTGAGCGAAGCGTAGTTAACTGTGGTTGTGTTGACCAAATTTTAAGATTTGATGAACAGAATATTTTGATTCTCATTAAAAATAATAAAAGAAACAATTTTAAAAAGTTTATTTTTCTCTAACTGTGCTTTTATTGTCAAAACCTGTCCTTTTCTTCAGGAATGTTGTCAGATAACTTGTTCATCTCTTTTGTAGTCATTGAATCAATCTGACTGACTGTTAACTGCACATATCTTTGAGAATCCCTGAAATATGTAAGACTGCAACAAAAAAACTACAACAAAATAAATGTCCTGTCAGAAATTCTATTTCATTTCAGTTCAGTTCATTTCTATTAGGTCAGTTGACAACAGAAGTTGCCTTAAAACATTTGACAAAAAGCAGCAAATCAAGTTAATAAAGGAACAAGTCTGGATTCAGTTATCAGTTCAGTTGTAATATAAATGCCATTTTTATATAAGCTGGCCTTCATAAAGAAACCAGTATATTTCATGGAACCTTCACTTCAACACAATCTCACTGGGTGACTGTTAAGCCTGACACCGCTGTGCGTATCTCTGACTCAGAAGCTCTGGTGTTGTGCACAGTTAACTCCGGTTGTAGCTAGGTTGCTACCTCCGTTAGCTTAGCTCCCATCTCCACGTTAGCTTTGGGTTAGCTTCAGGTTAGCTTGTAGCTAGTTCGACCGGGTGTCGTCAGTTGATCCCAACCTTACAGCCACATCCTCAGCTCCACCTCTCTTCCTTTTTGTGGAATTGTCTGGGCTTGACGGAACCTGTGACACAGTCAAAATGGCGGTGGTGGCCACCTCCCATTTAGCCTCAAAAACGTGTTATTGGAGCCTATGGAAATGAATTGTCCAGTAAATATGTCGATGGTCATTGGGAAAGCAGTGGATTACTACAGGGCAGAGTTCTTCGAAGTGTTGGACAGCATTGATGTTCAGTTTGCAGAATGCTTTGACCAGGAAAGTCTAAATATTCTGGTAAAGGTTGGAAGTGCCCTCCTCACTGGAGAATTAGATGACTGTTTAGATCAGTATCCTGAGCTAAACAGAGCTCCCTTGCTGTGCAGTTGCCTCTCTTCCAGAACAAATGTCCATGTACCAGTATTGGGGAGGCTGCAAGGGTTCCCAGAGGACTCCCAGTTGAGGTACGGGGCTTGTTTGATCAGGTTGAGGTTCTTATCAGGATTTTGATGGTGGTGCCTGTGTCGTCGTGTGAAGCGGAAAGGAGTTTCAGTACATTGTGTCGGCTAAAAACTTGGTTACGGGCAACTATGAACCAAAACAGACTTAACAATCTAGTTGTCTGTAATGTCCACAAAGAGAGGCTGGACATGCTGAACATAGACACGATCTGCCAGGAATTTGTTGGATGCAGTGGTACCAGAAGGAGTACATTTGGTTCCTTTGTTTAGAGAAGTGGTACTTTTGTGACATGGAAATGTTTCTGTTCGGCAGACACTTTACTCTAGTTTTTTACAAATAGGCAGAGTCTTGCATATAAATCTCCATTATTAAGGCAAACAGCTAAATGTGCACCAGGAATTTTCGTGATAAAAGACTCCACTGCTGGATGGAAGAATATTCTCTTCACTGACTAAACCTATCAAATACTGAAGTTTAAATTTGTGTTCTAGTGACTTATTTCTCATTGTGTTCATATTTACGCAGAAATAAAGGTTAGATAACTGTTTAAAAAAATATAAAGCTTCAGAACATTTTACACTCTCCTGCCACATGGTCAGCGATCAGTCAGGCCCCCTATAAGAGGTTCTGTTGCTCCAGCAGGATTGGAGTCAGCTTCAAACTTAAATAACTAAAAGAGGAAGTGATGTGGTCATAACTGATGTCAACTAATTCTAACTAGCATATTATCATTAGCATCCAAGCAATCAGTATGATAAGTTAGTCAAAGTTCAAGAGTATGTTAAAATGCCACCACTAGTTAGCATGCAAATGCTTACTAGCATGGTAATGGTGGCCAGCATGTTATTAATAGCTAGGAAGTAAGCAGTATGAAAAGGTAAGCAAATCAGTAATGAACTAAAATGATAGCATGATGATGCTAGCTAAATCCTAGCATATTTAGTATCCAACAAATAAAAAAATACCATACTATGAGTGTTTGTATTTTGTGAAATCTATTCCATTTGGCTCACAACTGATAGATTTACATTTTGGCTCTATAAATGAAAAAGTTAGGGTAACCCTGGTTAAAGGGGTTGTTTTATTAAATCTTTGTCGTTAAGTTATAAATCAAACAAGGGCAGTTAATTTATAAATAACTGTTAATATACTTGTAAGTAGGCCTAATCTTTGCTGCATTTTTAATTGTTGGCACAACACT